TAGTAACTGCCTGTTATTAAGACTAAGGTGCCAGTATTTGAAAAACAATGCTGATCTGCTTCCTTAACTCTTAGTTTAGTGGTATAAGGAATAATTGGTATAAGGAATTATAAGTGACTTAGCTTTCCTGTTGTCATTCACTTGGTTCTACTTAAATTTCACCAATGAAAGCCTCAATTTCATTAATTATCTACAGAAAAATATTTTTTTATTTGCCTTTTTCACAAGGTAAGTAGTTATTGAACTAAGCAAATATGAATGTCCTCAAAATTCATTTCTTTACTGGCTCTCTTTGGAATAAAATCTCTATGTAAGTAGATCCCGGGCCAAGAGCCCCTGTGACCTTTTAACTTTAGTACTCTTTTAGAGAGCAAGGCAACATATATTTTCAAGTCAGTTGTGAATGAGCATGTGCCTGTTTTGACCTTTCTCCTACATCACCTTTCTCACATTCCTGTGTCACTGCCTTATATGTCTTTACTTCTTAATCTAACAAAAGGAACACCTTAATTCCCCTGGAGCAATTAGCCTGCTATTAATGGATAGCTCAAAATTTTCAGTAGTCAATGATTTATTAAGAGTGTGAATTGATTTCATACTGCTGTTCAGAAAATAGTAACTCATTTGTTTCAAAGTAATTTTTAGAAACTAAAATTATCAGCATATGTTTATAAGTTCTAGTCCTGAGTTAGTCCTATTTCTTAACAAAAGCTCTTTACTTAGGTTTCTTATGAATCAATGAGCTACTCATTTCCTCTCTACTTGTAGGTGATTTTAAAAATAAGTAAAATGATATTCAAGAAACTGCACATATTTAAAGTATAAACTTAGATGTTTTGACATATATATACATGAAACCACTACCATAATCAAGATAGTGAAAATATCCTTCATCCCCAAAAGTTTCCTTATGCCCATGATAGCCCCTCTTTCCAGCCCCTCCCTGACCCCTCCTCCCCTGGACCACTGGTTTGCTTTAGGTCACTATAGATTAGTTTGCATTTTCTAGAATCAGTGTGTGTGTGTGTGTGTGTGTGTGTGTAAAAGGCTAATATGCAAAGTGTCCCCTCAGGAGTTCGACTGGGAAACTGGGAGTTCGATGACTCGCTATGACGTGTGCAGACCACCAGGGGGTGGCACGGAATGAAGGAAGGCCCCGCACACGTTCTTGTGGCCAGCTCCAATTATTCCACATTATTATTTTGAGATTCATCCTTATTGTGTGTATAAAGAGTTCATTCCCTTTTGCTATTGAATAGTATTCCATTGTATGGATACCACAATTTGTTTATTCATTCATGGGTTGATGGACATTTAAGTTGTTTCCAGTTTTTTGCTGTTACAAATAAACAGTCATGTACAAGTCTTTCAAAATATGTTACCTTTTCTCTTAGGCAAATAACCTGGGAGTGGAAAGTATGATCATATGATAGGTATAAATTTCATTTTTTTAAAGAAACTGTCAAACTGTTTTTCAAAGTGGTTATACCATTTTATATTACCACCAGCAGTTTAAGAGAATTCAAGTTTCCTTACATCTTCACCAAGACTTCATATGGTCAGTCCTTTTTATTTTAGCTATTTGAATATAGGTGTGTAGGGGTATCTTATTATGGCTTAGTTTGCATTTCCCGAATGACTAAAGTTCTTGAGCATCTTTTCAATTGTATATTGTTTTTTGTTGAAATTTCTGTTCAAATCCAAATTTTTAAATTAGTTGTCGTCTTATTGTTGAGTTTTAAGAGCTTTTAAATTAATTTGGATGTAAGTCCGTTATCCAATATATGCTTTGCAAAAATTTTCTCCCAGTCTGTGACGTGTCTTTTCATTAAGAAAAAAATGTTTTTATTGATTTCAGAGAGAGAAAGAGAAAGGGAGAGAGAGAGAAACATTGATCAGCTGCCTCCTGCATGCCCCCTCCTGGAGATTGAGCCCACAACCCAGGTACGTGTCCTGACTGGGAATCGAACTGGTGACCACCTGGTTTATGGGACGACGCTCAACCGGTTGAGCCACATTGGCCAGGCTTCAGTGTATTTTTCATCTCAAAAGTTGTAGTTTTATTGAGATGTTTGATTCATTTTTTTTCATATCTTAACTTTTGAATATATAGAATATAGTTGTAATAACTGTTTTAATGTTCTTATGTGCTAATTCTAATAACTGTTAGTTTTGCATTGGTTTTGATTGCTTGATTATTCTCTTCATTATGAGTTGTGATTGCCTTCTTTTTTACATGCCGGGTAATCTTTGATTAGATGTCCATCATTATGAATTTTACTTTGTTGGTTGCTGGATATCTTTATATTCTTATGAATTTTCCTGAGCTTTGTTTTCAGATGCAGTTAAGTTACTTTGGGGCTTTGTTTTTACAGTTTGTTAGGTGTGTTTGGAGCAGTGCTCAATCTAGGACTAATTATTATTCCCCTCAACTGACATAGATCTTCCTGAAAACCACCCAGTGCCTGTGCATGATGAGGTTTTTAAGTGTGACTGGCAGAACAGGCACTGTTCCTTGCTCTGTGTGAGCACGAGGCACTGTTCCCTGATATCCTTTTAGATGGCTGTCGCTCACCTCAGGTCCTTTCCTCGCATGCATGCACAGTGGTCTGCTGGGTGTTAGAAGGAGACCTCGGTAGATCTCTGAGTCCTCTCTCTGAGCAGCTCTCTCCTCTCTGCTATTCTGTCCTGTGAACTCTGGTTGCCTTTGCATCCCTGGACTTTCACCTTCATCTCCTCAGCTCAGGGAATCCGCTACGTTCTACCTCAACTGCTTTGCCCTGTACTGCTGCCTGGAAACTTTTCAGTAAGCTTGCGCAGTTATAGGCCTCACCTCATCTGTCAAGGATCATTGTCTTTCGTTGCCTGATGTCCAGAATTTTTAAAACAATCGTTTTTTGTATTTTGTTTGGTTGTTTGGTTTGTTTGTTTATTTATGTACTAGAGGTCTGATGCACGAAGTTGGTGCAAGGGGATCGGCCCCCACCACCACGGAGGCCACCTCCTCTGCCTCGGCCCCCGCCTGCCATGGCAACCGCCTCAGCCCCCCACCCGCCACCACCTTGGCCCTCGCAGCCCCAGCTTCATCTGGAAGGTCGTCCGGAAGGACGTCCGGTCTAATTAGCCTATTACGCTTTTATTATTATAGATTTGGTTGCGTAGGGTGGCAGGGCAGGCCTGGTTTCTGGACCCTGTTACTCCATTTTTGCCAAAAACAGAAGTCCTGTCTACTTGTAGTTTTAATCTGAGAAAGCTCTTGTACTTGGATTCTTATAGACAAACTAGAGTCCTGGTGCACGAATTCATGCACAGGTGGGGTCCGGCTGGCCCACCCCAATCGGGGCCCATTGGACCAGGCCAGCCGAGAGGAGGGGCCATGGGTGGCTGGCCTGCCAGCCCTGCCCACTGGTCCAACTCCCAGTTGAACTCCTGGTTGAGGGGACAATTTGCATATTAGCCCTTTATTATATACTAGAGGCCGGGGGGAAGGGAGGTCCCTCAGCCTGGCCTGTGCCCTCTCGCAGTCTGGGATCCCTCGGGAGATAACGACCTGCTGGCTTAGGCCCGCTCCCGGGTGGCAGAGGGCAGGCCCAATCCCTAGGTGCAGCCCTGGTCGGGCTCAGAGCAGGGCCGAT